CTGTTTGATTTATCATCTACGGGTTTATGTCGAATTAATTTGATGGCCTGCTCCCAGTTGGCTTGTTAGCTCAATTGGTAGAGCGCTGCACTGGTATCGCAGAGGTCAGTGGTTCGAATCCCGTACTGGCCTGAATTTTTATCAGGTCTGATTTTCACTATTGCTTAAATAGTGCTTTACTGCGAAGGATCGTGCACATATACGTTTCATAACCGCAGCTCATATATATGTAATTCATATATATTTGTTGTTTAAACCTAATTTGTAAATAGATCAATAATTCCTGGGTTCCTGAAGAAAATTTAAAAAAAATTTATCCAGTGGAAATTTTTTTACATTTTAAAACAACATTTTCCTAAATAATTCAAGTTTTCTAACAGATAGTTTTTTTTTTAATATCACGTATACCTGTGGAGAATGTGATGATGTTTAAGAAATTTGAAAAAAAAAACTAGGTCACCGACTTGGTTTTTGAGATATCTTTCAAAAACTGAGTTTTAGAGGGTCTTTTAGCACTACTGTACTGTTGCCATGGCAACAGATAATGCCTGACGAACCCTCTTAAAAGATTGCCCTTACATAGTGTTATGTATATGTCAAGTCATTATCCTGATGATAAGTTTGACAGTCCTGATATCTTTTACTGATTGGCACTTGCTGTTAATTGTGGAAAACCCTTTCGAGCCTCCTTAAAGAGAGCATCCTTACCCAGCATCAAATTTTGGTCGTTAAAATAAAGCAATTAAGTCAGTGTAAGCCAATTCAAGGTCTTTCCTTGACTTTTTTTCTTGTTTTCTTTTTAAGTCATCAAAGAAAGACTCTTTAGAGCCCCTCATGTTCCTTTCATTTCCACAGACCCCTCCCACTCAAGAACACACCTACAGTGTATAAAAACATTTTTTTAAGAACGCTAATAGAGTAATTCAGATGATGTTTTTCTTTTCCTTTATGGGTAGATAATTACTATAATTGTGGTAGTTTTTTCAATTTCATCCTCGATTGTTTGTTGAAGAATCATTTAACTGTACGTTAAAAAATTGTAAATTGAACACTCACCTTGTTCATGAACTCTCACGGTAAGATTATGTTTTCCAAGTGCATTCTCAGCACATATAATGAAGAAACCATCATTGGATTTTGTAATGTTTGGAACCTTCAGCGGTTCTTCAAAAGAAAAATTGGATATGATCTGTACAACACGTTGATCTGACCACAAGACATGGCTCAAAGAAACCCTTGGATAGGGCTAAGCTCTTACTTCAGCTTCTAAATAAAGGTCTATCCCTCTATACAGTTCAATTGCATTTTTATTCTTCGCGAACGTCGGCAAAATCGGTTTTGTGGCTCTCACGTCAGCTTCACGAGGTTTAGACAACCATTACTTGAACGTCGTTTGACAATAAACAAATTAGTAAATGTGGCGGAATATTTTTCTAATGAAAGGAACACGTATTTGAAAACAGTATAAAGTGTTCTTTGTTCGATTCCGTTGCAATCTAAATTTTTGGGTAATTTTTGGTTCTCTCCAATACTTCACTCCAATACTTCATTTTTGGGAACAAAAAATGGCAAAATTGGGAGGGTAAAATCGCACCTTTGTACATGGCATGGTGTTATCTATCAAGTTAATCCAGCGAAAGAACAAGGTTTCTTCTTCAAATAACTTTAATAAAATTTTGGGCTACTCAAAGTACGAAACTTAAGGACCCCAAACAAAAGTGACCCAGAGATAAAAACACTCCCTTCCTTGTCACGCAATTGGAGGTGAAAAATCAACACTGCGCGCGTGGAAAAGACAACAGACCGCTTTGGTAGCGAAATATCATTACCAAAGTTAACT